AAAGCAAGAGAGTCAGATAAATTATGAAAAATATCAAAGCTCTGGATAGATAATTTAGAGAAAAAGACTAGTCATAAAATGAAATGATACTGATAAAAAAGAGAAAAGTTAAATCAAAAGAAAGCAAGTAAAGTTTTCAGGAACTTTTCCCTCAATTGGATTTTAGTTACGACAACGAAAATAATTTTCCACGTTTGATCTTTTTGGAGTTTTTTTCATTTCCGTAAGATTTGTGTCGTGTACAATTTACACCTTTTTTCAATTTCTTAACTAATTTGTTTTCTAATCGATAATTAAATAATTAATTGTTTTCTCCAATTATCTACAGTTGAACCATTTAATTTTTTGTACTCATACGCGATACCCAAATCCTGAAAGCTTAAAACTCAAAGTTGGAAGATGAATCTATGTTTACGCAGTTGTGCTTAACGAAATCGCCAGCGACGATAAATTGCGCCTGATCCGTACCTTCAACTTTGTATCGCCTATCGCCTTTGACGACGAAGACCCAACGTAGATCATGCACGCAAGCACGTGCACAACGCAAATGCAGGTAAGATATATTATTATACACCACATATAGATTGTAGTAACGGCGCCAAAGACGAAACTGAACTCCTCCCCTAATGACTTTATAATGCCTTCATCTCGCGCCAATCTGAAGTCGCGACCGCTGCCTAAGCTCGATGATATATTGCTTGCTTGGTGCATGATGATCTTTATACATATGTGTGTGCTCGACTCTGTGTATTAAAGTGCGACTGTGTTGATGTTTGGATGATGAGTATATACGCAAGCCTTACCTTTTTTTGCATCGTGTCCGGCTGCGAAAGATACAGCTAATGATCGTACAGAGCCACGTATGAAGAATCGTTTTTTCTTTGGATTCAAAGGTGTTGGCTGTACATGGATTTTCGGTTGGTGTAGTTTTTGCCCATTCCGAGAGACTTGTCACTGGTCATTATGTCTTATTTAAAAGTATATTAAAAGTAAATTATTACTTTTTGCTCTTGAGACCAACGCTACTTTTTTTTAACGAGCTTTTCACAGTATCTACGAGTAAGAATTAAAAAAGGCGAAATAAAGAAAAAAATCGATTGATTTTCGGCGCAGATGAGTTTACGAGGCGACTTTCTCACTTGCGGCAATTTAGCATCCATCATCAAAGCGAACGGTCGCAACTCAACAACGAGCTGCAACGACGTTTCATCTGGGCAGTAAAAAAGGCCTCGGCCTCGGCGCGCACTTATCAAGCTCCAATCCTGTCCGGTCGGAAGATTGTCAGACCATAACGTATATAAGTGATTCACGGGTATTTCAAAAAGTCTTGGCACTCGCAGCTCGACGAAAATTCCTAGCCTGGCGCGGCGGCGTACACAAGACCTCCGTGCAGAGCGGTATACGTATACACGCTGCACACACTGCAGAGCTTCTCGCACACGGGATATATGCAGCTATATAGCTGGCCGCGCGCGCGCGCGCGTTAAAAGTCGAACACCGAAGCAGCTCTCCGGTGATATTTACGCCCCGACGTCGTATATGCTAATTCGGTCATGCTTTCATGTTTCAACGCTCCTTGCCTACCACACCGATATGCACTTTCAAAGCTTGCGCAGTACAAAACGGCAATAAGGTGATTTATGTCGAAAAGATTGAGCTGCCTTCGACGAATATATATATGAGACTGCAGTGCGAGTGAGTGAGAGAGACTCTATACGAGAGGCGAGAAGATGATGATGCCTTGGGTGTAACGTTATAACCGTTTAGTGTCTTGCGCGAGCAGTTTGAAGATGATGATGATGATGATGATGATGATGATGATGATGCGGGGTGATGAGAATTTGAAAGAAGAGCGTCAAAAAAATACAAGTCTGCATATCCTGCGTACATGCAGCGTATACGACGTGCGCTTGAAACGAGAAAAATATATATTTGAACCAAAGACAATGGACTTGAAACGCGAAATAATTTTTTGAAAAGTTATAAAACGCTTGCAACGGAATGCAATGCGCTCTCGACTTTTTTTCTTCATTTTTCAAGCAGTCAAGTAAGAATCATCCAAATAAAATAATAAAATAATCGACTTTTCAGTCATCCAATTGCTCGTGAATCCAACAATGGAGGGAAAAAATTCGCCTCACCACGTATCGTAGTTTGCGTACCCCGAGCGTTTTCCCCGTTATAAAAAAAAAATCAGCAATCGCACGCGAAGCTTGCAGTGCTTTTCAGTGGGGGCAATTTTTTGCCGAGCAGCGGACACTGCATATCATCTACATACGACTGGACGCGGGATGGACGTTTAACTCTCTCTCTCTCTCTCGCTCGTGTGACGAATTTGTAATTGAAGTCGCGTAACGCAGCAGACTTTTTGCAGGTATACACACGTATATACGTATGAGATATGCGCGTCCCAACGGCAGCAGTTCGCTGATGGGTTCTCTTTTGCTGCGTACACGTATATATGTGCCGCTAGCTTGCGCAGCATTGTTAAAATCCAGCCGTGATTTACAGCTTTTTAGGTCATAAATGAGGAAATTTGCGAGTAAAACGATGACAATGGATGGGAAAGGATGATTTGTGATGATTTTGCTCTTTTTAATCTGAGAAATATTTCCCGCCTCGTCCTTTCTATGTCTGATACCTCGACTGTCTCTCATAGCTATTTTTTTTTATTCAACTTTTATTCGAGAGAAAGAATGAAAAACTCAGTCAAGTCTGCAACGGAGGAAATATTTACGACCACCCATCGACCATTACCGTACTCGTACATGTTTTTCTCGATTCACCAAGTTTCAGCGAGCTTATATTATAAGTACGAGCAAACAAGCGTCACACAAAGAATACTTGAATTATACGTTAATGTTTGCGTTTCACGAGCTAGTTACGCAAGGTTGATTTTCAATTATCACGACAGCGGTGGCACAAGAACTTGAGCCATATACCTGCTTTCAGAACACACACAAGCACTCATATGTGCACGTGTGTGCTTGGAACGCAGTGTGCATCGGCAAGGTGAGCAATTATCACGTAAGATTAAATCGCCGTCAGTCAGTCAGTTGGTCGGTTTCTCTCTATATAAGAAGAATATAAACGTGTATGCGCACGGCGCAGAGTACATATAGCCCAAAGGCGCACACGAGCGGCGATGCTTTAGCCTTTTTCCGGCTCTCACTCGTTCCTCAACCGGATGACTATTGCCGCTCGCGCCGCAAAGCATCGTCGTATATGCACTCGATTGTCTCGGAGGCGATCGCCCAATCGGACAATGTAATTGCGCTAGTCGAGTTGAAACTCGAGTCGCGTGCGACACGATGTCTATTATAGTCCTCCCGTTATATATACTTGCTGCGATGGAGAGAAAATAAAAGCCGAGGATTATCGCGACTCTTGAGGTCAATCGACTGGACAGTTGGTCGACAATGGATGCGTTTGTGAATATTTTTTCTGCTATTGACGCAATCACCCCGACTCGATGATAATGAACATAAGTATTATTTTGAAAAATGAAAATTTGCATTACCACTCGTTACTGTAACAGAATAACAATCCTCGCATCGAAGAGCAATTACGCACAAAATTCCGAATACCAAGATGTTTCATCGTTTTGCAGATTTAAATTGCTTCGAAATGCTACGTCGATCTTACGTTATATTTACAGGCGCGGCGAATTGCAATAATATATATAAGAAAGCACTATCATAGCTCGTTGGAGCGATTATCTCTTTGTGTACGTGGCCGCGGTGTCTCACGCGCGCCGGAAATATCGAGTTCTGTTCGAGTATCCAACGACCATTACATACACGGTATGCCGCTGTTGCATGTGAGCTCTTTGTACTGTTTGCGAGAGCGTCGAACAATCGTAATACACCGTGTTCTACATGACATCGTGAAAAGTTTAGCGTGTATAATTCGCAACGAGCTTTGATACTTACTTTTTTTCAATAACATGGATAAATCTTAGATAATTTATATTGTTTTTTTGATTACATCATGATAAGATATTAAAATGTTGAACATTTTATGTTGAACGATTGTATAAAATTTAATAAACTTTATTGATTTGAGCCTACTCAACTTTTCAATGAAAATTAACCAAAGGATTGAGAATATTAGGATAGAGAAAAATTTACAATCTTCTATTATTTTTTATTGCTTTCACTTTTATTTTATTTATTTTTTTTTATAAATGAATCATTTTTTTCTGTGGTAGATATTATTGCACTTTAATTTTTCACTCTTTTATCGTTCGTTCATCTTTACCACAAGTTCTTTGATGAATAAATAGAGCTGACCAAACAATAGTGACAACACGAATCCAAACAATACGTAAAATTCATTATTCAATTATATATTATATAAAAAAAAGGAGACTTTTCCAACCATCGATTTTTTACTTGTTTACATTCGAGTACGTAAGCTTCTATTCGCTTGTGTTTATTTTTTTCTCTATTTTTTTCTTTTCAGAACCCGAGCAGTCCCATTATTATATACAATTGGCGCAATATAGCTCGCAGCTCGGTGTCGAGCTTACTGCCGCTTTTTTCCGTGCGTAATGACGATACATAAGCCAATTTATTTATGTAACAATATATAATATGTATAATATATATATTTCAATAACGTTTCTATAGGTTTTAAGCTTATGCATTGTATAAATAGCCGCATTGATTTTTCACTCTCGCACAGGAATATAGAACATTAAAAAAAAAACTACTCACATTCAATGATCACTCAAACAAGAATTTCATTTATTGATTCTGTTTTCACATTTTCGTTTCACTCATACACAAGGATTTTTTTCTAAAATTAGAAATAATAATTATATTATTTTATAATATACTCAACGATAGAGCCTATATACATAATTATTTATAACATTTACGATAAAATAAAGAAATTCCTAAACTCAGCACATGTATAATATTTATACAAAAATCGAACGTCTAATACGTTAGTTACAATTCGATAATTTTATATAATTATAACTGAATAAAATTATAAGAAAAAATACTGAAAAGTAAAGCGGATCTTTTTATTACACAGTCTGATCATACAGCGATTTGCTATATATCATTACAATTTCTGAGTTGAAAATTAGTGAACAACTCTTCGAGAGTAAGTGCATCTCTGCTTTGTGTATATATGCGAGTGAGTGCAAGTTTTGAACAATTTTCTCGTCAAAAAGTTTAAAATAATACAAATTTACATTCTTAAATACACGTATTAAAATTTTTGGCTCATTCACTGCACCTAAAGGTTATTTTATATTCAATTTTTTTAGTACGTTCAGTTATTCATTAATTACTTACATTATATTATTTTATAAATTGTTATATAATTTTTATCGGCTAAAGTTTCAAAATAATATCAATGTAAAACGAAACGTCAAGCTGAAACGATTGATTAAAATTGAATATTCCGTAGCACTCACGTTTTAAAATAGCACAACACAGCAAAACTCGGAGACTGTCTTTGAAAACCTCGACAACTGCTTCATCGACCAGATGGATAATAATTTATGCGGGCTACTACGAGGGTGAAATATCGCGGCCCTCCCGGCTCAGACTGTCGGTCGGGGATGGCGGCGTACACGTCCTTCTCGAAGGCGACGGCGTCGCCGCTGCCGTCGTCGTCATCGTCGTCACGGTACTGCTGCCGCTGGGCAGTGACTTGGTCTGCAGCTGACTTCGAGGACTCGCGTACGGTGCGTACCTGTGCTGCGACAGAGAAATCGCGGCCGTCGGATAGATCGGCCTCGGAGCCGCGGGTCCTCCATTTCCACCTCCTCCACCTCCGCCCGTTGGACCGGATCCCGACTGGGCCAGTTGCTGTTGCGCGGCGAACAACGTCGGACCCAGGGAGTTGGCCCACCAGATCTGTTGCTGCTGCTGCGCCGCCGCTGCCGCGGCCATGACCGCCGGACTCGGTGCCTGATGACTCGAGCCCGGTCCACCGCCACCAGGACCACCCGGACTGTACACCAGGCCCGGATTGACCAGACCCGCGTAGGGCCCGACTGCAGCGGCGGCGGCCGCGGCGCGTAGGATTATCTGTGAGCGAGCCGCCCAGATGGCCTTCTCCTCGAGACTGAGATTGCTGCCGGCGGCGACGGCCGCAGCCGCTGCCGACTGCATCTGATGATGGTCCACCTCGAAGGGAAACCGATGGGGAAACCTCAGGCTCTGCTGCTCCGCCAGCATAGACTCCATGCTTTCTCTGTAAGGAAAACTGCTGTCGCAAAGACGAGCGTTTGATTTACAAGGTATTCTTCCGTGCTCAGTAAGCTGTATAATATATGAACTTAAAATATATCAAATGAATAGGGCCCGGAATTTAATTGTGGATACGAAAGGCTGTGCAGAGAGCCGAGCTCGCGCGTGATTTTTTCTTGACTCGACGGATATGCGGGTTCGGAAATATTTCTTTTTTTTTTTAACTTTAGACTTAAACGATTTCTGGCCTTGTGATTGATGACGAGCAACAAAAATCGTTAAACGCTTCCGCTCGTTTGCGCTATTATTATTAATTGTCCGGATCATCGTGTCATCATGTGCACTCATTGATAATTATCATGAAGTTAATCCGCCTCGATACATTCGATTTCCTCATCAGAAAAGGCGTCGGATGTGTGATGATATATATATTTTATACGAAGACAAATTAAATCAAGTGAAATATACCAACCTCTCGAAATCCGTGAGCCTCGAGGAGTCACGAAAGCCTTTGGCAAAGGGATTGCTGTCGATTTTTAGCTTCGTAATCTGCAACATGAAAAAGACGCGGGACACTTAAGAATTGTTGTGCAATAAATTTCACGACTGCAATCGTAGACGTAAACTAGTTGGCATATATAATATATGAAAGGGTCGTCGAGGGCAGCGATCGGGTCTCGTCTTGGGCGCAGAAGCCTGTTCGAAGTCAACGGCTCGTAAAATTAGCAAACCGTCCCTTTGCTCTGGAGCCATTACATTTACGTAGTGCAGCCCCTTGTCGCGCCCGCGCGTCCCCGAGAGCCGATGGGGCGAATATCGTCGAAAGCGAATCGAAGGGTACACTCGTGCTGCACTCGATCTTTATAACGCGACTATAAATCTGCACACGACTCCTCTCTCTCTCTAGCTCTCGAGATTGATACGTTTCGTTCCGCATGGGCGGAGGAAAGAACACGAAAGTATAAACGTGTTCTACGTTGAACATGCGACGCTGCACGTATATAGCATATTACACTTTCTCCATAAACGAAGCCTTAGACGTATCTGCAATCTCGAGAGAAAGAGGGATAAATGATTTTCCGGAAAATCAACGACGTATTTATCGCTGTTAATTTTCGTTCGGCGAGGAGTAATCATCGCCAATCTCAATATGCGTACGTACAAGCTGTACGGGTCTCACCCAACTGACGAGCCAAAATGAAAAAACAAAAAAAGAAGAAAAATGTCTCGAGCGCAGCGCGATGCTCTTTTTGTTGTTGCACTATATTATAAGATGATGATGGGCGGCGCAGGGGTACCTAATGACAAGGCGGCCTCCTTCGGTATGATAAGAGCCGGCCGGCCGGCCAAGAGCGCGCCGTTCTCTCGCCTATCAATTATCGCGTTTTACGCTCTCCCGCCGCTTCCGTGGGCGCGCGCGAGCGCTCCAAACTCTCCGGCACTGCACACGCTGCACTCACGTATTATGTAGGCTATACTTTTTTCTCGCCTCGCCGAGAGAGCCTCGTTCTTCGTCTTCTTCTTCTTCCTCTTTTCTTCTTTTTGTTTTCGTCGCTGGCTGCTTAAAGCTCATCGCACAAAGTGTAATATACACACGCGGACTTTCGAAAATTCATTTTTGTAATATTCCAAGCGGCGAATTATGCGATTCAAGCGCGCCAAGGCTAATGACATGATATTATTGCACCGAAGAATTCTCCGGATATACGAGAATTAATGCATGGGCTTTTATGCAAATTTTTCAGATCCGCGGGTCTTTTATCTCTTAGCCGCTCGCTCGAGAAAATAATAATGTGAAATTGATTACTCGGCCAAGTGACGAATCGTGAAGCGTGTAAATTAAACGCTCGACTTGTAAGCGAAGAAAAAAACCTCTCGCGTACGATACGCGCTCCAGATACAATCAAATGCAAATCCTTGGCTTTTTTGTTGAAAAAAGAAACTCGAGTATAAGCGAAACACCTTTGTTTCTTTGCCTCGCACCTCCAAATAATCCTGGCTCGCGCCGCACACATACACGCGCGAGCGATCGTTGCGACGCGCTGAAAAAGCTTTTCTCTCCTATCCCTGCTCCTTCTTATGCCTACTTTTTTTTCATAAATCCTCGCGTCTATATAAGCGAGATGCACACAAAGAGAGGCAAATCTAATCCTCTCATCCCGTCGGATTAATGCAGCCGCTTATGGGCACATGCATATAGTCCGTGTGCATATAAAGGAACGGAGTAGGCGCGTGCTAAGCCCACCCAGTAGTAGTAGTAGTGCGTTCGTATGCTCGCACGCACGTAGTTATATGGGAGTAGAGTAGGCTCGTTGGTGAGCGGCGCAGGTGGGAAACAGCAGCAGCAGCAGCGGCGCGGCAGCTTCGGAAATCCGAGAGTGTACGCGCGCGCCCATACTGCTCGCACGCATATATAGGAAGCTCAGACTTGCACAAGAAGGAAGCATTACGTACGGCCGTGAACTTGTGAGGTCTATTCGCTCCGCACGCGCAACCATATTATTGTGCGTGGTATATCGATTACCTGCACGCGTGAAATCGACGGAAAAGCTCCGAACGATGACAAGACTTCGCCACTATGGATCCGGATGGATGTAAATGACCAGTTTCAGATGCAACGTTTTGCAATATGGAAGGTGCAAAAATGTCGCCAATAGAAATTTTTTGAAATAGAAAAACTCGAAGTGAGATCTGAGAGATGTATTTGACTAGCAGATTGGATAGAAAATCTGTTGTAGCAAATACAGAGACGTGTTGCGGAGAGCGCCGATAAACGAATAGACCACTTGGGCGAGACGTTGGTGCAGTTGCGTTGGCGCGACTTTGAGTTGTGCCATGCTGCGGGCTCTTCAATGCGCACATGCTCGCATGCGCGTTAGGCGCAAGTGAAAGCCGCGATTCGCGTGCATCGATGGACTCGGCACAATATCGTCGCCTCAGCGCAAGAACCGCACAAATAAACTCAAGTGGCAAAAAGGTGCCTTAATCCTATCCTTTTAACATAGGGATAAGGTTGTTTTTGCCCCTTAAGTTTATTTGTGCGGTTCTTGCGCTGGGGCGACGATATATCGGCGAACGGCAGATATAGAAATCGCGAGCAGGTATCGCGTCGACGCATCTTACGAGTGCCCATGCCAAGATCGACGATAAGAAAAAAGTCATTTCGCGAAATATTAGAACTGGTTTATCAATTTTAGCGCGCCTGATCGTGCGTGCCGTAGGTGTGCGCGAGTCTCGTGGTCTTATGATGTAGCCTCGCGCGCGTTAAAATACCTGTTGCCGCGAGAGTCAAGTGTCACGCGGCAATTGATCGCTCGCCCCCGCCGACAAAATATACGACTGAATTTTCTCCTTCGCAATTTTAATATTCATGATTTTAGCCCGCGAGAGTGATTTATTAGTTCGTCTGCGCGAAATCTATTTATAATGATTAAATTACACGTTTATTATATATATTATACACGAGGCAAGTGTGCGCGTGCGTGTGTGTGTAGACCCACTGCCTGTTAGCCTGCATTTGCCTGCAGCTAAGCGCTCAGACTCTACTACGTCGCGACTTTTAGTCTCGCGATGATATTTTGCTTTACGTGTCGCGAAAAGTATGCGGCACGACTAAGAGAAAGAGCCTAGCGTCACACATCGATAAATTTCCCTAATAAGTGTGGCGAAAAAAAAATGTGTCAATGCACTCCGACTGGAATATGGATTCTTTGAAGCCATCGAGTATAAGCGCAACAAGCTGCGTACATGGCGTATCGAGCCGCATGTGCTGCGCGGCTCGAGAAATCTCGACGCGTCGTATTATTTGTTAGGCCCGTCGTCGTCGTCGCTGCTAAGAGCTGCTGCAATGCAGCTCAAAGGGGCACAAGGCACAAAACGACTGCCGATCGTAAAATCTCCAAAGTATATGAGCGAACGAACGTGTGTGCTCTCGGGCGCGGGCGAGCGGCAAGCAAGCCAGATGTTTAGCTAATGATGTCAGAGAGTCAAATTGAACTTATGTATGTAAGCTTCTTTAAAAAAAAAGCCAGCGAGAGGGGTAAAAAAGCAGTGTCTTGTTACTCGCGAGAAAGTCGCGTGCTACAATCGCACACACACATACATATATATATAGCAAAACACACGTAAGGGGGCTTAATTGGACCACCCGCGCTTAGTCGGTGTTTATATGCGCATCGCGGGGCGCTATACAGCTCGAGCGGCACATCATCGCATCGTCGTCGCACTATACCTACACGTGTGTGTGTATGTGTGTGCTTGCGGGCGTGTTATAACGCTGACTTCCTTCCGATCTTATTTAAACAAACATCACGCGCGAGGGCGTGAGTGTGTGTGTGCGCGTGGTGGCCTGTACGTATCGCGCCCAACCACTCGATCTTTCGTCGTTCTTGTATATAAGCCCACTTATATTATTACGAAGCGGTGATTATATCAAAGCACGCGCGGCTTTCGTCTGTTTGTTTTCCCTAAATTTAGGAAATATACTCGGCTTTCGTTGCGGTCGCCGCGTGTATCGCTCAAAAGAGAAGCCGCGTGGCGCGCGCGCGCGCGCGAGCTCCGAGCTGTGTACCCCCCCTGGTATTCCACAGTGCCATTCGTCAATGCGATGGCTAATTGTTCGACAAGGTCGTTATGTTCTTCGAGACAGCTCTTTCTCTCGACGTCGATCCTGCCTATAAATCGAAACGTTGAGATGTCTTAGTCGACGAGACTGCACGCGTTTCTGGCAATGACACTTCTCGAGCGTACGCACATTTAAGCGGAATTCTGGCCGCTCATCAATCATAAAATAGCGCTGGCTCGACTTATTATATTAGGCTTTGAAGAGGGAATTTCGCTGCAAAACAAATCACTCGTCTCTCACTTTTTAGACACATTCAGCGTTCTTAACACGGTTGTCTTGCGCAACTCATCGTCGACGTTCGGCCACGCACCCGGACGAAAATTCAGAGGATATGTTAAGACCCATTTGGCAAACAGACGCAGCAGCTTCGACGTCTCTCTTTTTACTCTCTCTCTCACTTCGGAGCTGCTGTTGCAGTTTTATATACGCTGACAGGCATTCGTTGGCTCGCGCGACCGCCGGCGTGCACACGTATTTTATACTGTAAGCGCGTGCTGCAGGAATAATCCGATCGGAATACAGTTGAAATTTCACCGGGAACGGAAGTGGCCGCGCTGCAGCTCAATATATATCGGGCAATTATTAATCAAATGGATTATAATACACGATCGTGGCATGCGAAATTCGCACTGTGTGTGTGTGTGTGTGTGTGCATGCACGGACCGAATAACGTGCACAAGACGCGGACTTTGCCCGCGGAAGAAACTAAATTTGGATACGTGCAGTGTGTTGTGCGCATTATAACACTCGCGGCGTTCGTCGAACCGTTTCCGATTCGAGTTTATCAAACGTAATAAACTTATAAGTAAGCAATAACGCGCCGCGTATATACCCTCGAAGCTGCGGTATACGTTTATACGTCTGTATGTGTGTATTAACGTGCGCCGATTGTTCGATATCGCGGAACTACTGCCACTGCAGTTTC